CATAAAGATTATTGACTCGGATCAATCCGGTTCTGAAGAAGACGAAGATATTGGATCGTTGGTTGGATAAAGCTTTTATACCGACTGAGTGTTAGCTTAGTCATTCAAGAAAACACTGATTAGTTATGCTGAAGTTAAAGTAGTGGTGGTTTCTAATATATCTGCTAGCAGAGCTTACTTAATAAGCTTCTGCTTAACCGGATGCAACTTTGACAGCTACCTATTGCGAAAAGCTAGCAACCACGAACTTCTTGCTAAAAATGTTTTGAGAAGTTCGTAAAGTTCTATTTCGACGAAGTGAGGAAATTTACCTATCAAACTAAAATATGTATGTTTTTTAACAGCTTTTATTACGATTAATTGACCTTATGTTGGAAGATATATTTCTGTATCCAGATTGAAATCTTATGCAGCTCATTACTCTCTAATAGAAATAGTTTGTGGTACCTTGGCAGTTATTAATAAACACGTTTTGTCGATTAATCTAGTTACTCAAATTAAGCAAAACTGGAAATGAGTTCTAGAATCCTTAAAGGAAGCTTACAACACCTATTTAGGAATTAATCATACCATTCGCCGCCTTACTGTGGTCTTCTTGTCATCAGATTTACCCTTCGGACATTTTTGTCCTTTTTCATCTTTTTTCCACTCCTCTGACTGCCTGCTTTTGAAGCTTACAAAAAGTTTTTCAGATTCCTAGTGTAAAACAATGTTAATAGATGTTTCCTAAAAAAAATTTCTGATATGTTTACTTTTCTAGATGATGCGTTCAGCCAAGCTGCAGTCGTTTTTTGCCAAAAATCCAAGAGAGAAAACTCTGCTGGAAACAAGTACTCGACCAACAATGGTTGCGGTGCACACGACAGCTATTGCTGATGTACCAGAGTACATGGGTTTGTACTTGTTTGGTTACTGATCTTGCTTATATGAGAAATTCCTGAGGAGTTAGAAACGCGACCATCATTTTCTTCGCATTCGTAGATTCTTAACACATTCTAAATTCCTTTTAAATAAAAGTACATTGATTCTTCCGTTGTAAAACAGAGACATATGAGATTTTGGATTTCATCTATTTTTTTGCAGTGCCCAAGTCATTACGTGGAATCAGCTACTCAGTGGGCTTGAAAAAGAAAGCTAAACCTGGAAAAAGACGTAGACAGAAACTTCAGGGAAAATCATCGAATCAGAAAACGTTTAATCGGAGGAAGAATGACCCTTTAAGTAATTTTAAAATATGATCGTTGTTATTTGCTGTTGTTGTTTACGTTACCTAATTTGGTTGGTGCTAATGACCTTGTTTTGTTGTTGTTATAAAGTATTTTTTCCCTTATTTTCATCGATACTTTAGAACTTTCGCGATGAGGGTTAGCAGTTACAGGACGCAACGAAAAGTGTGCATTCGCTTCACTGCATTTTCATTTCGATAGTTTGTTTTACCGCATCGAGACTCCTGAAGCTTCTGTGGCACTTTCTCTATTTTCTGAGCGTCCTCCTCTACCGCAGTCGTTTCACTCGGATTGAGGAAGTTGTAATGGATCGAATCAGATGTAGAGCACCAAGCGGTCCAGTCAGCATGATCTTCATTTGATGCAATTTCAGCTTGGTAAAGTGCTGCGGAGCTTCATCGTGGTCTACCCACTGAATCAACCAGAACCAATTGTTCTAGAGGATCTATTTATTTCATCGAACATTACAATATGGTCGAGAAACCAGTGGTTCTTGTTACGCAGAAAAAGGTCATACAAAACTCCAAAAAGACGATTTCTTTGATTGCTATTCAGTTCGTACGGCATCTGTTTGAGCTTTCAACCTTTCTAGATTCTTCGAAACATTGCATGCTTATGCTGCTTGCTCTCATATAGTTGTGCATTCATTTTCTTGCACGAAAGCTTTCATCGTCGTGCTTGAAGATGAACAAAAAGGCAGAGATCCAAATAATGAGAATGCTAGTGAAGATGAGGTTATTGTGTTTTAAGTGGGGTTGCTTCACTCAGGGGGTGCTGCACTAGGTTCGACTCGATGCGTTAACGAAGCTCCACATTGAAAGAAGGAACAGTAGTTGACCATCGATTCGGATCATCAGCCCTCTGATGGACAAGAAGTCGTCGAAATGTTAGTTGAATTAAGTTATTTTTCGTATGAAGTGCTGAGATATTTGCAAAACTCCGGACCACAGGTGTATGCAGTGGGGAACGAACACGCGCTGTTGTCCTTACTGGGGAGCAGCGCACTTCACCACTACACCATCCGGGTCCTTCGCTTTGCATGTATCTCAGCTAGTTATTTTTATCATCCTCCTGTTGACTAATCGGTGAAAGAATAAATATTGATTAGTCGTGCCAATGTTAAGGAAAAGTCGGTTTTTGAAAAATGTTGAGTGTATAAAAGGAATTGTTTCACAAGCGACTGAAATAAAGGTATTAAGTTTTTCTGCTGAAGTAATAAATGTGTTTAACTGAATAAACTGGGTGTCATTTCTAGGCTCTGAAAAATGCGAAACCGCGGAAAGGTCGGCCACTATTGAACGAATTAAATAAATGTATACCGTAGTGCCTACTCAGTAAGAAAACACCAACTTCTTCAGCGGTGCAGAGGCTAACCGAAAATCGGTCCTAGGACTTCGCGCCCTTTTTCCTATGATAAGGAAACGCGAACGCGATGTATGCTGTTTGTGAGATCACTACCAATGCGTGGTTGTCAAAACAACGATGTGGAGGCTTCAACTGTTCTTATTTTCATCGATAAAGTTGATTATACGTTGATATGTGTGTGCTCAATGTTTCGAGGTCGGAATTTCATTCATTCCGGCCCACGTGACCTACAACGGTAAGCAATGGGTTAAGAAACTAGGTATTAGGCAGACATAATAAGGCCAATGAAGTCCTTGAAAAGCTCGAAGTTAACCGTTGCAGCTGAATGAGTAGAAAGTCCTTGGTACCGAAATTCTATTGGGATATTATTTAAACAGAGGTTTAATTGCCTAAGTGTGAGATTATGAAACACCACCTACAAAGGTCGCGCGCGACAGGACAAAGGAAGAGACGTACTCTGTCACACGAACTGACAAACATATTCTTAAAGTGTTTTCGATGAGACTTTCCTTCTGTTGTAGGTTTACCCTTGTTCCAGTATGCCAAGTATCACCAGAACTGCAGTTTGAAATCATATCGCTTCTTCACAATGAAACACAGGAATTCGCACACAGTACAATGCCATTGTGATTTTCTGCAATTCCCTTCATGTATTCTACCTCTTAGGTGTTCTTCACATTCAGACAGCGCACGCGTACTGCTCTATCAAGTTATCAAACCCCATTTAGTCGATATTTTTACAAAGTATATGGAAAATGCGAGTTTTGCGCAGCTCACATTGTCCTCCATTTCTGCCATGGGAAAATATCAAAGACACTTTTCATAAAGTGTCACCATAGATGGCAAAAGACCATTGTAAGCCGAGGAGTGTTTGTAGACAATAACTAAATTGCTTTTAGGACGGTGGAAACTTCAAAGATAGGTTTTTTACTTTTCGTCGGACTCCTATGTGGAACTGTCGGAATCGCATCCAGTAACCCTACATTTACCGCACTAAACTGCAGTTCGTCTATGCAAGGCGCCTCCCACCACTGTGCCACTCACGTTGATCTACTATACGACGACGAAACTTCAGGCAATTGGAAACAAGGAATTTTATTGCACAGCTCTTCAGACGTTTTTGGTCGTTGGTAATTCTTATCCTTTAAGCAACAGAGTTGTCGAGGTGACTTGGAAAGTCGACTGTCCAGAGGTCCTGTCCGCCTCAATTCTCCTAATTTTTGCAATACTGTTTGTACCAGGCACTGTTAGACGTCGCAATGTAACAGGATCATATTGAACTGCTCAACCACAGTCAATAACGCTCGTTCAACCACTGCTTACAATGTCGTTCGCATTCGCACGGAATTCATTTTTTACTGAACGATACAGTACGGTCCAAGAACAGAGCGTCCTTAACGCAAAAAGCGGGAAAGGACAGCGGTTACGGGCTTCTCATTCAATTTGTGCAGCACTCACTTGTCGATTTCTCGGACATCGTTCACCATCCGTGATAAGTTCTCGAGGAAATAAATGAAGAATAGAAAAGTAAGACACTGCCTCGGAAGGAGAACACTGGATGAAATCGTAGCAATGATGTATCAAATACCTAAATGAGATCGCAAGGGTAACATACTCTTCTCAATTCAAGTAGGAAACGAAGCTAACCAGGCACAGTTCAAAAGTTCACAGTATTAAACCAAAGGATATAGTAGTCACAACGTTTTGCTGTCCGTCAGTCAATGGAAACTATTCCGATACACGAATATAGTCGCTTTCAACTGAGAAAACCATATTAAATGAAGTGCTGATAAATTGCTTATATTCATTAGGGTCTATTCAATAAAATATTTATTGATACACCTCCCAACGCTTCACCGCCTCATCGTGGCTGGGAAGTGTTCCTGGGTATCAAATGGGATTCGTCCCCACAGCAGGGTCTCTCAGGCTGAGAAGGAGTCTGGCGTTTCCAACAGGAAGCCTAGCTAAGAGTAAACCAATACCAGTATTCATCACCGTCGAAAAATGGTGATTATGCTGGGGCCCGAACTAGTGAGGACGGGCCGTTCAAGTATCAAGTAAGTATTTATTGCTACAAGTACTGTAACATATTGAAGTGAATTTACAAATTAAAGATCTATTTAGGAGATGGTAGAAGAACAGAGGAAGCAATGAATACAGTGCAAAACGAAACCAAAATTAACTTTCTTGTTGAACTTCAGAACGCTTAAGATTTAAGGAGCAACACTGTCATTACAATGAAACCAAAAATGTCAAGTGATTCGAACTCGTTGCGATGTTTAAAAATAACTTTTCTAAAACAAAACTATAACGCAAAATGAGTGGAAGTGACAGGCCTGACGGATAAGCTAATGTTAGAAAGCTGATCGACTAAGATCCTAGCGTCAACACTTCTCGTGTAAGTTTGGGTTAAACCTTGCTGATTACGGTAGTTCCACCTGCTGTTTTTAGTTGTAGAAGTGACCCACTTGCAGGCCGCTTACTGCTGTCCATAGTCCACTCCATTAGATGCTCTGCGATCCATGGCATCGGTGTCCAACTGAGACATCATATAATTAAGAAAATGATGCTATTTATTAAACAACACATCTGCAGATAAACCACAGATTTATGTTTGAAAAGTCAATAAATCTATAGCCCAGAATGTTAGATGACAATGATCGGCTGCTGGAGTTTGGTCCTCTGCAGATTTTTGTGAATGAACTGAATTATCAGAAAAGTAGAAAACAACTGAGAAGCAAAAAACACGCAATAAGAGCGAGTTTAAACCTAACTAGGTTTTGCGCACACTCTATCTATAGCTACATGCGAATAAGTTGGAATGCTGGAACCTACGTTGAATGATCCGCGTTCGGCATCCATTTGCGGTTCATCGGCGTGTCGAGAGTTATTGGGAGTAATGCCAGCACAGTGGAGTCTGGTGGTAGACCAGATCCTTCGGCGGCCAGCGACGCTGTCAGCTGATGCACTGCGGCCTTCGCCATTCCATAGCCGATCATGCCGGCAGTCGCACTCGTTGCCTACAAGTACTCGTTGTTCACAGTACCTAGTTTCCCTGAAAAAACCGCCCCGTACCGCGTATGCACCAGTGAGTTGAAGCAATCCACCCGGTTTCAAGTGTTTTGCGGCGATCTTAGCAGCAATGGCGCTGCTCCAAACAGACTGTTGCCACATGAGGTTAGCGTTTTTGATGAAGTCATCTGCGCAAGTGTTGCCGCCAGCCCAACCCCCAGCCACACAGAAGATACCATCAACTGGGGAGTCCAGAGCAGAGGAAATCCTCAACAACATAAATAATTTACCATAGTGGCCTATAAGAAAACGTGCACCTACCCTTTAAGAATTCTCTCTTCTTGAGCAACCCAATCGTCTTGATTGTCCACGAAAACGTTTGCGTCAGCGTTGTCATTACTATTCAGATCTATACTCATCGTCCACGAAAAAAAGTCAAAGTAAGTTCCTGTGTTAGGAAAAAGAAAAGCAAAAAAGCTTTACTGGTTTTAATGTAAAATACAAAACAAAAGAAAAGAGGGAACAACTAAAGCTGTCATTCCAAATCCAAGCACCACCGATTTCCCAAAACGATTTCAAGCATTGCGTAAAACTCACAAAGTTGTTATTCTTAAAGTGTTCTACAATGGTACTTCCAAGAGCGCCACGTCCGCCGTAAATGATAACTTTCCCGCCAGCCATTCTTCAAATGCACCTTAGATAATAAGTGGGTGGCAACACGGTTTGAACACTGACGGCGGAGAAAGAGCGCGAGTTGTAGTTGTCATCAAGGATATAAAATGCGGATTCAAACAAAGGTTCCAGATTAAAATGCAGTTCACCGAAATGAGAAGACAAGTCCGATGAAAAGACTGTTCCTATCTTACTACAAGAAACAAGCAACTTAGTGTTTATATATGTTCAAGTCCCTGGTTCAAAACCTACCGACCCAACCTAACCTCCGATCTCTCCAATAACACCTGTAAATTTGATAGCACCTCACAGCGGAGAAAAATGTAAAACGAAAGACCCGCATGGTGTGGTAGTGCGTGCGTCAGCTCCCGAAAAGCATTATAGCGTGTTCGGTTCTCACGGCAGACATCTGCGGTTCCGAGTTTTGAAAATATCGTTTCAACCACAATGATGCTGAGACATTTGCAAAGCTCCGGACGGCAGGTGTCTGCGGTGCAGAACAAACGCGCCATTACCTTTTGCGAGGGCTTACGCGTTCACCACCACACCATGCAGGTCCTTCGTTTTGCCTTTCTCTCAACTGGTTTCCTCTTTACCCGTACCATCAACAACCACCCGTCAACGAAATTGTTCTGGGGAGTGCAATTCGGCAGTGAACCCAGTTAAGTCAAGGCTGTAGTCGAAATCATAATGGTAACTTTTTATTTACTGCCTATTGCAATTTTTCACGGCACAGAAAGGCGAAACGAAGGACTCGCATGGTGTGGTGGTGAACGCGTTAGCCAACCGAATGAATAACAGCGCGTTTCGTTCCTCACCGCAGACACCTGCGGTCCGGAGTTTTGCAAATAGCATCATTGTGGTTGTACCACACATAATACTCCGCCGTGAAAAATTTTAATAGGCAGTAAATAAACAGTTATCATTGCAATGTCGTTACATTTCTTTCTATTTTAAAACTTGCCATGAAGGCATTCGTCGCTGTTTGGAGTTACTGGTGTTGCTAATCGATGTACACCAATCGGATTAATGACTATCTCGAGAGAGACATTACTGAATGAATTACTGTAATTCCATGACACTATGGAAGCCCATTTCAGTAGAAAAAAAAACAATAAATAAAGACGACAGTGATCATAGTTTGAAGTTAAAGAAATTCATGGAGAGTTTCGAATCACCAACCAGCTTCTCATTCATTCACAGTAAGAAACAATTGAATGAACCACTTCCTTCTTGTTTTTAGATCTCATACAGTTGAAACTCGTTTAATTTATATCTAATCTAACAGAGTAGGTTTCCAAGGGCTTACCACCTCATCGTGGCTGGGAGATGTTCCTGGGTGTCGGGTTACGACGAACAGGGGGATTCATCCCCAGCAGGGACTCCGAACTTGACGAGTCCGGCGTTTCTATCAGGAAGCCCAGCTAAGAGTAAACCAACACCATGATCTACCACCGTCCTGGTATCAAATTAGTCGCATGGTGGCGAGTCTCCCTCTGAGTGACAAGAGTGGCGACTGCCTGTGATGGTGACGACTTGGGCAGACTTTGGCTAGGCTGACCTCGAGACTCGAGGGAACCGCAAGGGCTAAATCAGCTAAACTCCGAAACATTGGAAATTACGCTGTGGCCCACATAACCAGAGAAGACGGCCTATCCCGATATCTAAGTGATTTAAGAGAACTTAACCCTGAACAATTTACAGGCAATATTCACACTTTTGAACGTCTGCAGACATTTTTGAGGTCATGTAAAGCTTTATTTGTGTTGTTGGGCACAGTTCATCAAATGGAATTAAAGAGAAAAAACATTTCTATACTTCCTTTTTTTTAGAGCGCGTGTGGCACAGCGGTCGGAGGCGCCCAGCAACACACACGTGGAATCGATACCTACGCCCATGGCCCACCAAGACTTCCATCCTTCCGGGATCGGCAAAGTTGTACCAGAATTGTCTGGAAGGATAGCAGCAGCGGCTCGGTTCATAGCCAGGCAACCGCGAGTTATTGTAAAGGGCAGATATGTATCCAGTCACCTTCAACGATGCTTAGTAAAGTCGAATACATGGCGCATTCCTCATGGACTTATCAACGCCGAGAATTTTATTCTTTTCTTATCCTTTATGCTTCCTTTAACTACCACAAACGATACTATTCTGATTTTCAACAAAATACTGGTGACAGTAAACCACTTGAAATAATTTCCATCAACGTCTTAACTGTTTAAATAATTTTTCCCACAAATAGAATCAAGACATGTCGCTTTCTGAGGAGCACCCAGTTTTCTCTCATCATTACAACACAAAACATCTTCATACAATGTTTAACGTTTTGTTTTCTGCCTTCTATAATTTTCATGGCAGGTTACTAAGCGAAATACATCCACAACTGCGGTCCAGAGTTTTGCAAATATCTCAGCAATATCTCTTTTTGCCACAGCAATCACCCGTCAGCGGGGTTGAAAGATCGATAGAAATAGCTGAGAGACGTGCGAAACAAAGGACCCGCATGGTGTGGTGGTGAACGCGTTACTCCCCGGAAAGGATAATAGTGCGTTCGTTCCCCACCATAGACACCTGCGGTCCAGAGTTTTGCAAATATCTCAGCAACGTTGTGGTTGTATTTCATCTTCATACAATTCGATTCAAATGCAAAATGTAAGCACCTAGACACCTAGAGTTGATGACTGCTGTTACCAGGTACTATAGCAGAAGTTTTCGAAGTCATATTTGTCCTAGGAAGGTGAAGGAATGCTAGATGAAGGGTGAACACCACTCTTTGGCTAACGAATATATTATTAAGTTAGGAGAAATATGTGCGCAATAACATCCCTTCACAGCTTCTACACCACAAAAGTATATCTATTCAAAAAATCTATACTATGAAAAGGCTTGTAAAAAGAAGGTAAGCGTCGATGAAGAACTGATGGGCGTTCCACCAACAGGCCTGCGATAGTGGTAGATCGATGTCAAGGACATGGGAATGCACGGTCGGCAGTGCCGAAAAAGGGGTCACCACACACGGGCGAGTCGTTATCTCTCGCCAGTGGCATTTCTGTCACACGGATTCTACTGTCTCCAGACAACAATCCAGTGCAGAAATGAATCTACACAGTACACAACACACGCAAAATGAAACCTTCAGGCCGTACTGTAATGAAGGCTGATGAACCTGGTGTCGGAGATGAAGGTCAAGGCATGACACCTAAACTTTTTTCATACAAAATTTTCGCCTCTACACTAAAGTCAACGATTTGTGATGAGGTGGAGTTCGCTGACGAAAGGATGACGTACGGTTCGGGAATGCATTCCGAGCAGCTGAAGGGCCTCATCACCAGGAAATCTCAGTTTGATGATCAGAAAAATCGACGACAAACGGAACGAATGTCTCGTGATTGAAGCGCTAACAAATACCCATCATCGTGGTCTCGTGTGCTGTTAACATTATGCTACTCTACGATGACAATAGGCGCGTCTAGGGCAGTGGTCGGAGGCACCCGGCAATACATATGGGATTGACCCCTGCGCCCGTGGCTCACATAGCCTTCCAACCCTCCGAGACGTGGAAACTGGTACGAGACGTCTCTGGGAGGATAGCAGCATTGGCTCGATAGATCCGTAGGTCACCGCGAGTTTTTGTAAAGGCCAGATATGCATTCAATCACCTCCAACGATCCTTGAAATCGAATGCATGGCGTATCCCTCAGGAATTGATCGACGTCAAGAGCTTTATCCTTTATCCTTTTATTTACGATGACGATTTAATAATACTTGCCGATTCGGAATGAATTACATTTACGGTAGCGGCAGAAAAGACCGCTTCAACAGCTGAACCCAGTTTCAGATTCCCGGATTTCTGAACGAAAGCCATCGAGCGAATCCAGTCGGAACAGCCGTTGCTCGTTGATCTGCCCAACATGCCCAGGCAATAAAGTGATTCCAAACTAAACCATCGATCACGACCCTCTCAGCAAATAGACGTAGATTCACCGAGAGATTTCCAATACTTGAATACTTGGATGGCCCCTTCTCACTGGTTGTTCTGAACCTAGCATAACTCCCATTTTTTGGAGTTTTGGTGGCTTGGTTATTGTGTTTCCCTATAGTCCCGAGTTCAGTCTAGCCGAAGTCTGCCCCAGGTCGTCACCACCACGGGAAGTCGCCGCCCCTGTGGATCAGAGCGGGATTTGCCACCAAGCGACTAGTTTGATGCCAAGACGGTGATGGATCCTGGATTTCCAATACATAACGGAAAACGACGAAGGTTCTACAAACAACATGAAATCATAATTTTTGAAATACCATTCTGAAAAGTAGAGGAGAATCTATTGAGTGGAAATAAAGTCCATTTCGAAGTAGTAGGATTGAAGCCATGTGATAACTCAGACCAATACATAGAAATAAGCAGTCGAGAACAACTACCCCACAACTGAAGAGCACAAAACGAAACTAACGAACTGTTTGCAAGTGGAGTTCGAACACCTGGAGCCGAGCGGAAGCCGAATCCAGGACTTCTCGTCCACGCATAGGCGGGGCGACAGGTCGCACCAACGTGTTCGTTCCCTCAGAGTGGATTCGACGCCTCTTTTGTGTCATGCCCCATTTTGGCTCCAGTTTTATTATTCTTAATTATTTCTGTTATTATTTCAACTCCGATTTATGCTCCGCAGATCAATACCGTGGACAGATGATTGCTGATAGCGTCTATAAAACACAACTGAGAGGGAGGCGAAACGAAGGACACTCATAACATGGTGGTGAACACATTGACCTCGGAAAAGGTAATAACGAGGTTCGATCTACACCGCAGACACCTGCGGTCCGGGGTTTCGCAGATATTTCAGCATTATTGTGGTTTTCTTATTATTATTGTTATTATTAGTATTATTTCCACAGGAACCATCGAGAACTGGTTTCCGTACTCACATGAACCGGTCTACGCCTTTCGACGGTCTCTAAGTTTTTAGTGGTGCCTTTTTCAGGGTTGAAATGAAGTGCCATTACGAAGTGCTAGAAGTTCCTAGAGACGCAGATGAAGAAACTATTAAGAAATCATATAGGTTAGCCCCAAAGTATAATTTCAGTGCTTTTTCCATTTTTGTGCCCGGATTTTTTGCTCGACAATTGATGACTACTGTTCTTCCGCTTCTTTTTCCACAACATTCTATCGTGTTTGGAAACGTTCTTCTTGAACGAGGTCCAAATCAACTGGGTGCTATAACCAGCATATTCTTTAGTGCCGTTGCCAATATTGTTTCTCCAAGTAGCACGAATCAAAAGCTACAAGGTGAGCCTGGACCCCCAGAATAGCACAAATGGAGTGTCAGCTTACTATTGTAAATCTTGTGGTTTTCATAGTATCTGGTACCAAATGACAGCTAGCAAATGAAGATTATTTGAAGAAGATATTAATTTTATATCTTATTGTAACCTCTCAGCGGTTTACCACCTTGTCATGGCTGGGTGTTCCTGTATCGAGCTGCGATGTAAAGTGGCGAGCAGGGCCACACATGCTGGGAAGATGTCCAGCGTTTCCGCTAGGAAGCCCAGCTAGGATCAAACCAATACCAGGATCCACCATCGTCCTAGTATCAAACTAGTCGATTGGTGGCAAATCTCGCTCTGATCCACAATGGCGGCCACTACCTGTGATGGTGACGACCTGAGGCAGACTGTGGCCTGGCAGACGCCGGGACTCCGGGGGACCACAGTGACTTAATCAGTGAAACTCCGAAAAAGTGGAACTTATGCTCGGGCCCGCACAACCCCAGAAGACGGGCCATCCAACTATCCAAGTTGTGGCCTAAAACCAAGTGAATATTCGGAACGTTAAGCCGTTTTCACCACATTCATTTCCAGCTCACTCTTTTAATATGTCTGTATTTGAAATCTTCTAGTTGATTACACTAGTCTTTTAGAATTCCATTCGTTTCTCATCATACCACCTTAAGCTTCGTTCAGAAAGTTAGCCCTAAAGTGGCATCCGGACAAGAATCTTGATAGACTGGAGGAATGTACGAAGTACTTCGCATTGGTCCAGTCTGCTTACGAGGTACTCAGTGATCCGCATGAAAAGGCATTTTACGATAGACATAGAGAAAGTATATTACGAGGAGGTTAGTTCCTACCATTTTGATGTATTTTTTCAGGACGGTTATTCAACTCTTAATTTGCTGCTTTGTGGTACATTGGTTTGGTCGTACGTTTTCTTATTCTAGGCTTCGGTGTTGATGTTAAAGAGGACTCCCTGGATCTTTTCCAATTCTTCACCACAGGTTGCTATACGGGATACGAAGGCCCGAAGGTTTTCTTTTGCGAACTTGTCTGTTCTATTCAGTCTAATTCAGTAATGCGGGAAGGACAAAGTTCTCTGTAGAACTTTTCTGTTATGCATTTTTTGATTTCTACAAAATTTTCATTTCCTTTAAGGGTTTCTTCTCGGTGTTCAAAAACGTTTTCGATACGCTCAGCAGAGAAGACTATGATTTTATTGAAGATCCATCTGTGTGTTACCCTACCTTCGGTGACGCTACCAGTGACTACGAAACGGTATCTTTTCTGTTTATCTTATATAAGTTCTACTCTCCTTTAAGTCATCATTTCCTTGTGGCGGGTGTGGCGCAGTGGTCGGAGGCGCCCTCCTAATACACGTGGGATTGGTCCCGGCGCCCCAGACCCACCAAGCCCTACATTCCTTTGGGGTCAGAGAATTGGTACCAAACTTACCTGGAAGGATAGCAATAATGGTTCGATATATCGGTAGGCCAAGCGAATCATTCTAAAGACAAGATGTGCATTCATTCACCTCCAACGATTCTTAGTAAAGTCTAATGCATGGCGCACATCTCAGGGATTGATCAATGCCGAGGACTTTTTCTTTATCCTTTTTGAATATTCGTTTTCTTGCCAACAGTTTACCATACCTTTAGGTAACTGGGCCATTTTATGGCTTTTGGAGTTCTTTTCGCACAGCGAGGTCTTTTGCTTGGTTGGACAAGTATGATGTACGACAAGCAAACAATAGATATGAATTGCGACAAATGGAAGCCGAAAATAAGAAATGTCGTGACGCAGGAAAAACTCAGCGTAATGATCAAATCAGAGTGTGTTGTGACTTTTGTTGATTCTTAAGGCATGTTCTTATCGTGATGATTTCAACCGGTCGACACTTAGGAACTAGTGGCTTTCGTCAGGAAGCGAGATCCTCGAGTCAAAGCTTATCGTGAACTGTTGGAGAAGCAACACGAAGAGGCCAAGAGGAAGCAGGAAATGAATAGAAAGCAGCAAATTTTACGCAATCAACAGTAAGTTTTTTCTTATATGTTCGATAAGCTGTTCTGCATTAGCATTTTTTTCGCCATACCTAGATTTGTTACATGACATCACTTGATTCAACGACAACAACAGCAACAATTTCTTAAGATGATTTCGAAATTCTTCATTATAGTGCAGGTTGTAGTCATTGCAGTAAAGTTATTCTGTATGCAAATTTGAATTCTTTCGACTTCTCCTGTGAGTTAGAAAGGTTTTACGCTTTGTATCTTGAGTGAAAAAGCGTAAAGCTCTCAGCGTTGATTAGTACCTGAGGGATGCCCCATGCATTCGACTCCATTAAGCATTTTGGCCCTTAAAATAACTCGCAGTGGCCTACCGATGTATCGAGCCACTGCTGCTATTCTCCCAGACAAGTATGGTACCGATTTGCTGACCCCGGAGAGATGGAAGTTTTGGTGAGCCTTGGACGCGGGGATCGATCCCATGTGTGTGCCACAGGGTGCCTCCGACCACTGCGCCTCATGCGCCATTTGCTAATTTGGTATGTGTTGGATTATTTAGACTCACATCGGCTTTCCATGAAAACGAACATGCTATGGCTGCTCATCGTAAGCACATAGGAGAACTCTTGCAGCAGCTGGCTGACGACGAAGGCTGCAGCGATTCGGAGAACGACGAGGGCGAGGAGTTGCTGTTTTGTGTCGTTTGTGATAAGAGCTTTAAAACTGTGTATGTTTCATATTAAATATTACCTATATTGTATATTTGTTCAAATACGATTTTGTTAGGCTTTTAGGAATGCGATGGTCAATCATGAGAACTCAAAACAGCACAAGAAGCAACTTACTGAATTGAAACGACACATGAAGGAGGAGGATCGCGAGCTTTTTGGTTTGCGCGTTTCCATCTAAAATTTGTTTTAATTAGGGGTATTACAAATGTTATCACGGTTTGCTTTAGTAGGACTTCCTATTTTTTCGAATTTCAATAACCGACATGTCTTTTTTAATTCCAGAAGGCCTTTCCACCGAATTTTCACCACAAAATGAGGAACAAAAGGGGAAGAAAGCCAAGCGAGGAGCGAAAAAAGCGGCTTGTGACGAAGATCTCAGTTGGGAGCCGGTAGATCTGAAGGAGAATCCCGAAGAGCAGGAAGCGAAAATGTAGTACTTGTTTTTAAAATGGGTAATGGGATTGCAAAAATGGAGTGTGATTATGCTATGAATCAAAAACTGATTTATGTTTAGCAGCTCGGAATCCGTCAGCAGTGTTAGCGAAAAACTTGCCGAAGTTTCTATTGCGGAAATAAGCGGTCATTCTGTGGAGGGAAAGGACAGCTTTCTGATTGCAACAAAGAAAGCTGAGAGGAAGAAAAAAAGAGGTGAATGGTAGCGTTAGTGTGTGTTCGAGTGAGTGTAGTTACTTTGCTATCTTGTGAAAATAATTTGATGCAACTTTGGCCTTTGAAGGTTTCGGCTAGGTTATTCCCTACTTTTTCTTGAGTCATGTGTTTGCATGAATTTCCCGCTGTAGAACCAGTGTATAATTCCAGAAATAAGATTTCCATAAGGCGTTCACAGTTTCAAGATTTCCACAAAGTTCGTCATCTTGGCGGCTGCGACAAGGGCGTAATAGTGCTAGTGCAATTTTAGGGTTTCTATGCTTCACTTTTGTGCAAAATTGCACCGAATGTTGTCTGCAGTCCTATGTGAAAGTGCGTTTGAGAAGAGGATCGTTTTTTTTTTCGTAAATCAAGTGCTCACCAAGCACTCTTAACAATCGACAATCTCATTGTTGAGTTCTTATGCAACCCTTAAATGAGTTTAGAAGAGCAGCTTCGACTATCGGTTTTGTATTCTTGTCTTTGGCCGGCAAAGATGTCTACGAGCTCTACCATTAAGACTCAAATCTCCGGAGTGAAAGCTTAGGAAACTTCTGCGCATTGTGAATGTCTGAAGCTTTCACTTTGTGTCTAGGCTAAACAGGTCAAGATTCTCCACTTGAAGTAGGTTCATGTACAAGGTTTGTAGGAAGATAGGAACGGTTGTGAAAGAGAAGTAGAAAAAGTAACGGAAAGTGGTGTTTTAATCTAGACGAGGGCGACCAATTGAGGCGATGGCATCAATAAAGTACTTTGGAAAAGAGGAGAATGGATTAAATTTGGTAGACAGTTTTGAATTACAGCGATTAGAGTACATCATGTTTTAATTTTAATGGAGGTTGATCGTAGAGTATTTTAATTCGTACACATTTAGGCGATAAGAAGGATTCCGATATAGTCGCCAGTACAACTCTGTGTGCTACTGTAAACACCGGTCCGAAAATTGGGACATGTGACAAATGCAAGCAGGTTTTTGAAAGTCGTACAAAGTTATTTGAACACTTGAAGCTCACAGGGCATGCCACAGTGAAAGCTTCCGCAATTCCACAACCCACTTCTAGGAACAAGAAGGATCGACGGAAATGAACTCATTAGTGCTCAGGTACATTTGGGTATTCCATTACCACATGTATTCAGTGTTTCTAGTTCTTGCTTTAAAGTGATTGTATTGTAATTTGGAAAATAGCTTTGAAAAGATGGTGGATTCATCAATTTGCCAGATATTTAACTTCCTAATACCGGTGTGTAGTTCTTACTATCAATGAAGGTTTTGTTTGCTCAACGTTAAAGCTTCCACGACAATGTTCATTGATCTCAAGGAGTACGCTGCTGTACGTTTCGGACCATACATCTTGAATTCAATGCGTACCCTTTTTACTGACTTATTTTGCCACGCAGAGAATTTCTGCCAGACGTTTTGTGGTCGGTCGAGAGCTTGCCCAACACAAATTTTATAATAATGCCGCTTCATGGATAGGTGTTCTCATTGCGCTGTGCTAGCGGAAAGTATACTGCGCTATAATTTCGGACAAAGTGTACTGCACCATACTTTTGGGTGAGTTAGCCCGTCTGCTTGAACTCCACAGGGATCCGTTAGTAATTAGAAAGCAATATCTAGACGTTTGGTACATTTCATCGTCATAGCACTGAACAGACCTCTGTAAACGTATTTGGGGTATACACAAGGGCTATACACCCTCCAGGTGTGCGCTTTTCAATGGAAAAACCACATCATTGGGAAAAAGACACATTTCCAACTCTTATCACATATTGTTGTAAAAATGTAACTCAAAAGACTTATTTTACGATGTAGGTTTTTGAGAAAACCTATACGGAAGTGTTTTTAGCATGTAGCAGAAGTAGACGAAGAACTAGAGCTCGCATTCATCAATTTGTGAAGTACTTCTTCGGGAATAATGGATATTCCTGACATATACTTTCATAACATCTTATTGATGTTGTAAGTCTTTTACTACAATGTTTGTCTAACAGTGATCAACCTGTAAAGACATTGCTAGTCAACAACTAACGCTGTAACATGAGCACCGGCATGCAATATACCTCTCTTGCATAGAGTTTGTACTTCTTACGTATAGCCGACGCAGTACGCACTACAATAATTAACACGTCGTACATCGTCCAATAGTCAATTTGTATTTCTTAATATTTATTGCAATAATATATAACATGCAATTCCTGCCTACAATATACAATCCTTAAGTGGAATTTATAAAGAGTAGCACAGATCATATTTTCTGAGGAGCAGTATCAAAACAGTCTAAACAAAATGCTTGTTACATTGGCTGTACCCAGAACGTACTTGTTAAGCATTCCTTGCAGCAAATCTAGAACATCTGTCCATTTTACTGCACTGGGTGTGGTCTTCTCGAAAATGCGGTTAGTGGTCGGCTATCATCTTGCAAATACCTCAGGTAGACGTTCCGCTTAAACATGTTGAACTCGACGCTTTGCATACAGTTACTGTAGATTCTCCAAGCGTTAACCAAACAGGTGTGGGTGACTAAGTGATAGAACGCATATACCTAAACAATAAAATCAGATATTGGGAAACAATGAGAGAGCAGAACTTGCGTACCATTTACATGTTTTCCTAATATGTGGGGAACACCCGACCATCTGGTCAGTAATGTCCAGGAACGACTTCCACTTATTGTAACTTTGAACAACTCCAAGCTTCTCCGTATTTGAATTAATTACAACATCTTTCCTACGCTTCGCTCCCATCACCATTACGCCACTTTTGTTTTGCATAGCTATCCATTGCTTGACCAGTTTCGGTTCGATGATTTCCGTTGATATCCTGATCCTGATCTTTCCACACATTATGCTCAAGTATGTTTTCCTCTCTGACATACTAACAGCTAGGAGAACGCTTTTATACTGGTTATCAATGTAGCGGTATTTCCGTTCATCTAGGAAGTTGTTCATGAGTTTCATCAAAACTGTATTGAGAGACCTCAAATCGGTCTGAGATATGTGCTTTCGCACCTGCGTACACCATCGTTTTTAAGCATCCCCTCCTTCACTGCGCAGTTTGAAGAGCTTCAATCCGTACTTGTGTCCTTTGCGTGAGTTCCACTGCAGAAGTACAGTTCTTCTTCTGAATTGTACCACAAACTCTTTAATACATATATCTTTGCTAGGTTTGTATACAACCTTGTGGTTCATATTCATGAATGTTAGCAGTCCGTCTATATTATAACCTGTCACTTTCATCATAAGTCAAATTGTCGGCAAAGTACAAATGGGTTCGATCTTTTCGAATATAGAGCTTGCCATGCCATCTCCCCTACACTGTGCCATCCAAAGACCGGATGACTGCCCCAGTAATGTCTCAGACCGGGCGATTTGACAGTATTCATTTGAAGGCACAAACCAACGAATTTTTCGTCTTTTCGACGATATTCTTTGCCCATTCAGCATTCTTCCGTTGAGCATAGATATCTTCGCCTCCTTCGATCAGTTTCCCAACATGAACATAGCCTTGAAAAGTTCGTAGAAATCGGATGATTCTTTGTACATAAGCATTATATCGCTCCTGAGAGACCACTAAGGTTGACCATTCACCCATTTATCTCTTCGTCATCCGAACAATATTTTCCTTCATCTTCTGAGTCGCTATCCCTAGAATTATCATCTGCCACGAGTAAGTTGGTTTCCACGTTGTCTTTTGCATCATCACCAACGTCCTTATCGTCACTGTTTGTAAGAGGGCGATCGACCAGGGTCTCATAATCTTCATCTGCAGATATGACTCCACGATTCCGAAGCAATTTCAGGCAGCGCTCGAACGGAACAGTGCAACGGAACACGAAAAAAAACTGAAAAACTTGAAAACGATGGTCGGACAAGAAAGAAGTGAGAATCTTAGAAAAGAAAAAACAGACAGCTAGAAAACGCTTACCATACGCACCATTTGAGATCCCAGAGTTCGATTTTCGCTTGAAGATTTTCACGCCCTTTTTAGCTATTTCAATGTTAGTGATGTGCTGTTCTTTGTTACTTGTCTAATCGCAGTGATGGACTTTGACTACCGTACTAAATTTAACATTACTAAATTAAAAATAGCCTGACAGTGCATGCCGCGTGGTCAAATAGTGGACATCTTGAGACCTAATATATATGTATATATTATATATATACATATATATGTATATATATACGTATATATGTATATATGTACATATATGTGTGTATATATATAAACATATGCATATATATACTTATATGTGTGTACGTGCCTATATATATTATATATACATGTGTGTATATATGTATATGTATATGTGTAACGTATATGTATATGTATATACACATGTAATGGGGTGCTTATGGCGCAGTGTTATAGGCGCCCTACAATGCACATGGGGTCGATCCTGCTCCCCAGGGTGACCACGCCCTCCATCTCCTCGAGGTGGCACATTGGTACCAAACTTGTCTGGGAGGATAGCAGCATTGACTCGATACATCGGTAGCCACCGGGAGTCATTTTATAAGCCATATACGTATTCAATCACCTCTCACGACACTTAATGAAGTCGTATGCATGGCTCATCCTTCAGTGATTGGTCAAGGCCGCTAGTTTTGTCCTATATATATATGTATATATATATATATATATATATATATATATATATATATATATATATACATGACCTTGAGAATATGCATACATATTTGTATAGATATAAAATCCAGGTCCGGTATATAGAATACAGATCAGCGACGTTCTAGCTGGTTCTGATCCTCATAAACTAGTACACCATCTAGTCTCTTGTATCTAAGTCGCTACGATGGAAGAATCAGGGTTATCTTACGAAATGAGAAAATATATAGTGGCATTGGTACTCATGAAACCTCCCAACTCCCGAAATACACTAGTGGTTGAAAAGCTATCGAAAGTTGTCGAAGAACTGGCACCGCACGCAGTGTTAAGCATTGTTTTTGACGAGAAGCTGATTGTTATTTCATTTTCCATATGAATCGTTGCTACTGTATGAAATGGTAGGATATTCAAACCACAAAACAGACATCGCAATATTCTTCGTACAGCCTACAAAACTTTATTAAATGCTGACAGCACTATGATTAGATGGTGGACTAGTTTTCTTTCACCATATGCAAGGGGTAGGTAGACATGGTTCAAAACATGAAACTGTAAGCAGAAGAATATAGCGGATAAATATAGGCTAGAGAGAAAAGGGAAATATGCGACGGAACCTCGTGCCTCCTGTGCTGGCTCACGGACAGTACGTCCTGACTTCAGTGAGCATTGCGGTTGCAGTGCAATCACACGCGGCGGTCTGACGAGCCCAACAAGCCCAACACGGGAAGACTGCTACGGTCGGTGAAGGGTTACGTGCAGAAAGTGAAATTAGCTGGTACAATAACGGCTCGTCATTCCCAGACGTGTTATTGAAGCGACGACTTTCTAGCCATTACCTTGTTCAGTTTTTCGTTGATACTTTGAATTACAGGGCATGATTGCTTATCTAAGGCAAATTGTGTCCCTACCATTGTTGATTGCGATAGTTCTATTGGATGATGATTGTTGCTGTACAGGCCAAATTGTAACTCTCATGCGGGTCACAATATACGCTTACCATTGTATTCTCTGTTTCATTGTGAATAATTTTTACAACCCTAGATTCTATTGTATTTCATACTTTCTTTGTTTACCCAACTATGAAATAAAAAATATATGTGATAATGATATCATAGAGAAGAATACTGTTTATTCTAAACCATTTCGAGGGCAAACCCTATCATGCTGTGGGAAAGCAGGCGGTGTCACGCACAAGGTGCTTGTGTGTATGTTCCAAACCTGTAGCAGTTCTCTGATCACTTGTTGCCTTTGATCTTGTCACATAACTTCTGCACCAGCCAGTGGTTTGACTTTATGCCGGAGAATTTCGATGCTGAATTATCTCTAATCACTTTCTAAAATGATTGCCTCCAGGTTCTTTTACGGGTTTCGCAGGCCTCGTTATTGTCAATGTGATACATGGACCATTGTTAGCCCCAACAATCTATTGGTGAAGGGTCGCCGTAATAAATGAAATTTC